TCTCGCATGTGTCTCGCATGTGTCTCGCATGTGTCTCGCATGTGTCTCGCATGTGTCTCGCATGTGTCTCGCATGTGTCTCGCATGTGTCTCGCATGTGTCTCGCATGTGTCTCGCATGTGTCTCGCATGTGTCTCGCATGTGTCTCGCATGTGTCTCGCATGTGTCTCGCATGGCATGTGTCTCGCATGTCTCTCGCATGTGTCTCGCATGTTCTCGCATGTGTCTCGCATGTGTCTCGCATGTGTCTCGCATGTGTCTCGCATGTGTCTCGCATGTGTCTCGCATGTGTCTCGCATGTGTTCGCATGTTCTCCATGTGTCTCGGCATGTGTCTCGCATGTGTCTCGCATTGTGTCTCGCATGTGTCTCGCATGTGTCTCGCATTCGCATGTGTCTCGCATGTGTCTCGCATGTGTCTCGCATGTGTCTCGCATGTGTCTCGCATGTGTCTCGCATGTGTCTCGCATGTGTCTCGCATGTGTCTCGCATGTGTCTCGCATGTGTCTCGCATGTGTCTCGCATGTGTCTCGCATGTGTCTCGCATGTGTCTCGCATGTGTCTCGCATGTGTCTCGCATGTGTCTCGCATGTGTCTCGCATGTGTCTCGCATGTGTCTCGCATGTGTCTCGCATTTTGTGTCTCGCATGTGTCTCGCATGTGTCTCGCATGTGTCTCGCATGTGTCCTCGCATGTGTCTCGCATGTGTCTCGCATGTGTCTCGCATGTGTCTCGCATGTGTCTCGCATGTGTCTCGCATGTGTCTCGCATGTGTCTCGCATGTGTCTCGCATGTGTCTCGCATGTGTCTCGCATGTGTCTCGCATGTGTCTCGCATGTGTCTCGCATGTGTCTCGCATGTGTCTCGCATGTGTCTCGCATGTGTCTCGCATGTGTCTCGCATGTGTCTCGCATGTGTCTCGCATGTGTCTCGCATGTGTCTCGCATGTGTCTCGCATGTGTCTCGCATGTGTCTCGCATGTGTCTCGCATGTGTCTCGCATGTGTCTCGCATGTGTCCTCGCATGTGTCTCGCATGTGTCTCGCATGTGTCTCGCATGTGTCTCGCATGTGTCTCGCATGTGTCTCGCATGTGTCTCGCATGTGTCTCGCATGTGTCTCGCATGTGTCTCGCATGTGTCCTCGCATGTGTCTCGCATGTGTCTCGCATGTGTCTCGCATGTGTCTCGCATGTGTCTCGCATGTGTCTCGCATGTGTCTCGCATGTGTCTCGCATGTGTCTCGCATGTGTCTCGCATGTGTCTCGCATGTGTCTCGCATGTGTCTCGCATGTGTCCTCGCATGTGTCTCGCATGTGTCTCGCATGTGTCTCGCATGTGTCTCGCATGTGTCTCGCATGTGTCTCGCATGTGTCTCGCATGTGTCTCGCATGTGTCTCGCATGTGTCTCGCATGTGTCTCGCATGTGTCTCGCATGTGTCTCGCTCACACATGTCTTGCAAATTGCAATGAGGTCCACGTTTCCCCACCCATCAGGTGGGTGCTATTCATGGACGTGCAAGAGTGCATGCACGTGATGGAGCTGCCCCACTCCAGCGATGGCACTCGCACCACACCATGTGTTCCATATCCCCTCCCTTCCCCCCACCCACTAGATGGGTGCTATTCATGGACGTGCAAGAGTGCATGCACGTGGTGGGGTCACCACACTCAAGTATCTGCCATCCATGCGCCTACCGTGTGCCTTCCATAGGCATCGCATTCCATGTCAGCTGGGTGCTCGTGCGTGCCCTCCATGTCAGCTGGGTGCTCGTCCGTGCCCTCCATGTCAGCTGGGTGCTCGTCCGTGCCCTCCATGTCAGCTGGGTGCTCGTCCGTGCCCTCCATGTCAGCTGGGTGCTCGTCCGTGCCCTCCATGTCAGCTGGGTGCTCGTCCGTGCCCTCCATGTCAGCTGGGTGCTCGTCCGTGCCCTCCATGTCAGCTGGGTGCTCGTCCGTGCCCTCCATGTCAGCTGGGTGCTCGTCCGTGCCCTCCATGTCAGCTGGGTGCTCGTCCGTGCCCTCCATGTCAGCTGGGTGCTCGTCCGTGCCCTCCATGTCAGCTGGGTGCTCGTCCGTGCCCTCCATGTCAGCTGGGTGCTCGTCCGTGCCCTCCATGTCAGCTGGGTGCTCGTCCGTGCCCTCTATGTCCCCCCACCCATCAGGTGGGTGCTATTCATGGGCGTGGGCGAGTGCATGCAAGGGGTGGAGCTCCCGTCCATGTGTGTGCTATGTGTCCCATCCATGCCTATTTCGCCCCTCCCTCCTCCCCCATCAGGTGGGTGCTATTCATGGGCGTGGACGAGTGCATTCACGTGGTGGAGCCATGTCAGTCTCCTCCTATCCATGTGTGTGCTACGAGTGCCATACATACCATATACCCCCTCCCTCACAGGTGGGTGCTATTCATGGACGTGGACGAGTACATTCACGTGGTGGAGCCGCCTCACTCGCTGCTCGTCTTTCTCAACTCAGTGCCCGCCATTCCCTGGCTCTCCTTCGGATCCCTCACCTTCCCCCTCGACATCTGCGGCAAGATACAGGTGTGTGTATACTATACCCTCTGTGTGGCTTTTCTATACCCCTGCCCGGGTTTATGCCCCTGCCAACCCCCCTTCCTACACCCCTCTCAACCCCACTCAACTCCTTCCTTTGCACCTGCCAACCCCACTCAACCCCTTCCTCTCCACCTGCCAAGGCACTACCGCATTCAACCTTCCTCTGCACCTGTCAACCCCACTCAACCCCTTCCTCTGCACCTGCCAAGGCACTACCGCATTCAACCCTTCCTCTGCACCTGCCAACCCCACTCAACCCCTTCCTCTGCACCTGCCAAGGCACTACCGCATTCAACCCTTTCGTAAACCCCTGTCAAACCCACTCAACCCCTTCCCATACAGGAGGCGGGGTGGGAGCCATGGGCAGTGGAGCAGCTGGTGTTTCGCGAGCCGGTGCCGCACTGCAAGGAGCCCACCAAGTACTACAGGTGAGTTTGCTTTGCTTCTGCTGCCAGGTTGTTTTTCAGGTGAATACAGCAGAAAGTGAGTATGCATTGCAAGGACCCCACCAAGTACTACAGGTGCGGTTGCATTGGTGCTCAGGTAGTTCTTCAGGTGAATTCAGCACAAGTGTGAGTGGCATGGCGCACTACAAGGAGGCCACCAAGTATTACAGGTGCGCCTGCTTTAGCTACGCAGGTGATTCTCCAGGTGAATTTAACAGCTGCGTGAGTGGACCACTAGTTGTAACGGAAGGAGCTCTCCAATACAATATGCCTCTCTATTCCAAGTGCTTCTCCAGGAGTCCCTCCAGGTGATTGTATCTCAGGTGGTTCTTCAGGTGGACATTCCACTCCAGCTCTCTGCACTCCCCCTCCTTTCATGATTCATCACAGTCAAGACGCATGTCTCAAGTGGGACAGCCATTGAAAGTACGTGGTGAATCCTCGGGCAGCACAGGTGTTGCAAATCCACCTCTTGTACGAGCTCAATCCTACCTGCCTATGATCCCCCCCTTTTCCCTTCTGTTTACCACAGTCGTGACGCATGCCTCAAGTGGGACGGCCACCGCAAGTACGTGGTCAACCCACGGGCAGCGCAGGTGCTGCAGATTCACCGTGTCTACGAGCTCAACCCCGCCTATGATGCCAATGCCCCCCCTGACGCTGCTGCTGCTGCCTCTGCTCAAGCTGCCGCTGCCCTTCTGGCCACTTCCGGCAGGGAAGAGGGTAACAGTAACGAGAATGGCAACAGTACAGGAAACAGTACGAGTGTGGGTGCTTTTAGTGGGTCAGCTTTTACAGGGAAGCTGATTCCTGTTGACGACGTGCAGGGACTGCTTATAGGGAGTACAGGCGGTGGGTTGAATCTACATACAAACATTATAAGGGTGAATCACTACAGGGGGTTGGGGATTAGGTATGTGCCTATGTGTCGCCAGATTATTGCTCTCTCCTTGCCGGCGCCCAAGGGTGTTGTGAGGGACATCAATCTTGCCAGAATTGCGGTTGCTTCTAGATTGCGTTCCTTAGATGCTGCTGCTATATAGGAAACGTGGTGCCTGTTTTGTGTGTATTGTACGCAGACGTTGTCCCAGTTGATTACCTAAATATGGATTATGAAAGCACCTTTGGTTTCCCCAGCTGGTTATGTTCCCGTCCAGGGCCCGTGCTAGGATTTGGGGCACCCTGAGGCCTCAGGGCACCTTTCCAGAATCGTAAAAAATGCCCTGATTTGTCCGGGCAAATTTTCGAAGCCTTCCTGTATGTTCAGGGCTTTTTCAGAAATCAATCCTGACCTGTCAGGGCAAAAAACAAGTGTTCAGGGTTCAGACTGGTTGGTTGCCAAAAGGTAAGGCTGAAGTTCTAGTGCACGGGGGTGGGTTTGATCCCAGGACCTCATCTATCGGAAGTACCTTTCTACTGACTAGGCCACTTTTGGATGGTTGGGTGGTTGAATGAGTGCTTGACGACGGGGTCCGTTAATTCCTCTTGCCTTGAAGTAGCAATCCATATAACAAAAGTTTCTCGTTATGGAGAGTGTAGTGGCGATAATGTTATAGATTCTTGTACCCGATGAACCCCTCTGTTGAGCAATCGCTTTGTGAGGACGCGTATGTGGCGCATTACCGTCCTGTCCTGTGTCTGCATTTTTCCTAGGAGCACGGCGCTAATGGTTCTTCGCAGGATCACAGCGACGTTTTCCCACAAAAAAATTGTCCTCCCTAGGTCATCATAGCCTTCGATCGGACGGCTGATCCTTGCTGATCACAACAAACGCCGTTACGATTCACAGTAGATTCCACGCGTCCACGTGCTCCAGCGCAGCATAGACCGTTGATGCCGCATAATTTGTCCTGTCTGACACGCGTTGCTTCGGCTGTGTGCTACTGATCGTTAACCATGCCACCGTCACTTTCTCTCGCGATATCACCGTCGGTCGATCTAGTTCCCTTGTCGCCTTGGCGAAATTCACGAAACGGGAAACTGTCGCAGACAAGCACGTCGTTACAGAGCTCGTGCGCGTCGCTCTATATTGCCACTTCCACACCGTCGGCAGTTCAACACAGCATCAGACCTTCGGCGATTCTGCAGCTAAACAAGAATCACGACTCTTTTCAAAACAGCATCAGACCTTCGCCAGTCCAGCGACTTCGCAAGAGGACGTCGTTGGTTGTTCGCGCAGCGGCGTGCGACGCGCAAATGTCGTTCGGCGGCGGCGGAGAGTCGCAGTCGTCGTCGGGAACGTCGGGATCGCAGCAGGCAACACAGCAGAAACAGTCGGCTCCGAACGGTGAGCTCAAAATGGAAAATCTATTGGTCAAAGTATCGGTCCACTGTGCCATAATCTAAATCCAGGGACGACGGGAGAGACGTAGTCGTCGTCGAATCGCAACAGGCAACACAGCAGAAACAGTCAGCTCCCATCGGTGCGTTGAGGTTGAGGGACGGCCGGCTGCTAACGGTCAGGTCAAAATGGGGAAAGTACTGGTCAAATCGTGATGGGTACCGTGCTTTTATCCCAATTTAGTGACACGAGAAAAGGCGTCATCGTCATCGGAGTCGTGGGGATCGCAGCAGGCAACACAGCAGAAGCAGTTCACTGTTACGGTGAGCCCAAAATGGAAAACTGTGTTGGTCAAATCATCTGGGTACCGTGTAATAGTCTGAATCCAGAGTCATGGGGAGAGACGCAGTCATTCGGCGGGGTCGCAGCAGGCGATACAGCAGAAGCAGAAGCAGGGTGCACTTCAAATGGTGAGCTGAGGGACGGCCGGCTCTCAATAATTGGAATCTGGGAAGTATTCTGGCTGGGTCGTGAGCTGCTGTGGACTGATCTGGCTCCAGGGACACAGGGAGAGGCATCGTCAGCAGAATCAGGAAAATCAGTAGGTTGGGGACCTCACAGCACGCAAATCAGCAGAATCGGTTGGTTTCTAGTGGTGAGTGAGGAATTGTGGAGAAGTAATGGTTTACTCGTGATGGATATTGGGCCTTTATTTGATTGAGGGACACGAGGGGAGATGCAGTCGTTGCGTTGCCAGGGGTTTGCAGGTTCGCAGCAGGCGAAACGGCAGAATCACTCGGTGAGTGAGGAGAAGTGGTAGAAAAGTAACGGTCAATTCGTAATGGGCACGGTACGGAGGACACAAGATGTCGTCGCCGTCGTTAGGGTTAGTGGGATCGCAGCAGGAGACACAGGAGAAGCAGGCTTTTAACAGTGAGTTGAGGTTAGGGGCGGTGAGCTGCCCACACAGGTTGGATATCTCTTGTTGGGTCATGACGGTCGAAGCGATAGCAGCGACAGGCCATGCAGCAGAAGCAGTTGGACTCAATATGTTACGTGAAATGACGGTGAGGTTCTTTGCTGATTGATTTTTCAATCCTCCATTGCCTTCCCCCATTTCTCCCTCCCTTCGTTCCTCCATCTCTCCTGCCCTTCTTCCTTCCCTCTCCCCTTTCTCCCTCCCTTTCTTCCACTCTTCTCCCCTCCCGTGTTTTACTTTCCTTTCTCTTCTCCCCTCCCTCATCCTACCTCCTTTCAAAGCTGCCTCGTCTTTTATCTTCTTCTCTCCTCCCACTTCTCGTCTCTCCGTTCTCCTACACCCCCCTGCTTCCTCTGCCGCCTCTCAACCTCTCTCCATCCTTTCCCCTCTCTATATTGATCCTCCCTTGATCTTTCCATCCCTTCTACCCCACCCTCACCCCCCTTCACCTCTCAAACACCAACCTAATCCCCTCCAATCTCCCCCCTGTGAGCCCTCCCCATTGCCTCATGCTCTACATCGTTCCTGTTCCTGCCCACCATATCGCCACTGATACCATCTCAAAGTTAGAAGAGCAGAATGATAGACCAAGGAAAGTGGGAGGTAGAAATACAAACCCTAGAAGTGCTATCCTCCCTACTGTGTGCCTCACTTTGTAGCCTAACATACAAATACATAGTTTGACACAAACCCACGAATCACCTGTTCTCAGCCTCTACTCTCAACTCGCCCTGTCGCTGTGCTGTGCCTTGCCCCGTTGCACCCGTGCCCCTATTATCTCGTGCTCCGCCAGTGGCGAAGCTTGACATGGGGGGAACAGGTTTCCCTCCTCGGGATGACGATGGGGGTGGTGGAGGAGGTGGGGGTGGTGGTGGCCGGTTCTGGTGGGGCTTTGGGTTCTGGTCAGTGCTGCTGCTGCTTTCGTTTTTTAAAGACCGAGACGAGAAAAAGGGACGGTCAGGGCGTAGAGCATATTAAGGTTGTGCTGGGATTTTATGAGCAGTTGATGCATTGTAGTGGCAAAATTAAATGCTTGAAAGGCGTCTCATAATGGAAGTGGTGCTACCTGTATTCTTTTCCAAGTTCATACCACTCTTGCAACACCACACGGTATTGTATTTTGTGCAAGTAGAGATGCGGGAATACTCGATAAGAGCCTCAATGAGACTTGCACCAACTTCGAGGAAAGTTTACTTCCACGTCAGCGCGTGGGCTTCTGGCTGGCACTGGGCAGCGAAGTTCTGCCCATTCTGCCCAGATCACAGCCAGGTGTCGTGGTGACCACCAATAGGAACTCACCGCAACCACAATCTCCCACCACTCCACCTTTGTCGCACCACGCGCCAGTTCCTCAGCACGTGGATCTGACCGTTCGTGCCATGTCAGGACTCAGGAACCAGCGATGCCTGGCAGATAGGCGGTGGTGGTTGAGGAAGAACATCTCCCGTTACCCGTATCCTTTCTCGTTGATTCTGCAATTACTTCGTTAACCATAGCAGCGGTCGTTATTCTGTGCTCGCATTTGCTCATATTCCTCGTTTAAAATTCGCAAATCTCGTCAGGCTCGTCATGTCTTTTCAAAGGATGTTTCGAGTTTGCCCCTCTGCTCCCAGCTGCTTCCATCGAGATTCTCGGAGCCTTGAGAGTTGGGTCCTATTTGTTTTCTGCTGGGCAACGTGTCACACGAACTGTAGGCGTATGGTGGTGAATGAGTGGTTATATTGCGTAATAAAAGCATACCTCTTTTGGCAAGTGTCCAACTGTCGCCCAGCTCGAGCTTTGATTCCTGGAATCTGAGTCTAGCCTTGATATTGCCGAGCGAAACGCGCAAGAAGTCACACCGAAGTAAGGACGTCAGTTTCTATCTACTTGCTCGCAAAGCACGTCTCTGTCTGGATTCTCCTCGCTCTCTCTTCCTTCACGAATTTCGAGTAATCCTGCTGTGCGTTGTGTGTTTGAGAGGGCGTTCTGTGTTCGGCTTGGCGTCGACAACCCTTCTGTGCAAGGTAATGGACATAGAAATATGTTGAAGTTCTGACAATCAGGGTGTCAGATCATGAAAGAATGACGGAATGAGGAGACATAATAAGGAGATGGGGTAAGGAGACTGAAGGCGACAGAATAATGACTCAATAGAGTGCGGCTAAAGTTTTGCAAGAGGAGGCTCAATGACAAAACTGGGCAGACAAACGAGAAAGGAGGGACGGTCAGACTTGCAACTATCAATAAGTTACTCCGCTAAGCTTCATGGCAGACAGACAAAAAGTCCAGGGTTTCTTTTAGATGAAAATGCCGGAACTTCTTTCTAGACATTTTAAGAATAAAATGTCGGAAATTAGGTCCCTTGTCATAGCGGTTCAAGTTTGAACACCAAGACAAGGGTTAGCCGTCGTTCTCTCTACGGACTTCAAACGAGGGCTTCTAAGAGGGGTTTCCATCCAGCTCTCACTGCATTTCCTGATTCCGCTGTCTCTCCTGATCTGCTTCTGCTACCTTTTCAAATTCGATTCTGCTCCCTCTGCTGAATCAACTTTCCTGCCTCTCCTGATTCCGCTGCTCCATCTCTCCTGTGATATTCTGACCCTATCCCACAGGTTCTCCTTCGCCCATGGAGGCTGCGGCCCTCTCATCCACCTGTCGCCTCTCAACCCCCACCACCGTCACAAGCCTCGCGCTGTACCGATCCTCGTCGAATCTGAGCCACCCGTTAACCTCTCCGGCGCCTGTGGCTTCGTTTCTGTCACGCGGTTACCACTGCGGTACAAGCACGAGCAGAGGATGCAGCAGCAGCAGAATCAGCAGCTTCAGAAGCGCGAGCAGCCGCAGCAGCCATGTACTGCTTAACACCTACCCACCCAGGCCCTCAGGAACGTCAAGATTACGAGGTGGGTGCTTTTTTTGTTTATGCTTTCATCATGAGTTCATAGGCTTTGGTTATATGCAGCACAGACCTTCCTCGAGAGGAAAACCCATTAATGCACAAAAGAGGTCAGAGATCCTTGGTTGTATGATGCGCTTTTCCCTCCTCGCCCATCTAAGCCTCTATTCATACTTTTTTGCTTTGGACCAAAATACGATCATAATAACGACTCCGTTCCTGTTTGTCCTCCCTTCCTCTCTAATACCTTCGTCCCTCCGTTTCCCTTCTTCCCTCCTCGACCTCCTGACCCCCGCTTCTCCTCTCACCAGCTGGAACAGCCTTTGCAGCAGCTCAGGCAGAGAGTGCCACGTCAGCAGAGCCACAGGAGAGTGACACGTGGAAGGTGAAGGTTCTATATGACGGGGACTGCCCAATCTGCATGAAGCAGGTGAGAGGCTGCCACGTGGGGCGTGACACAGAGAGTTCCTTCTTTCAGGTCGAGTTCCTTCCTCCTACCCACACCCCGTCCCCTTGCAGGTGGAGTTCCTTCCTGTAGTTCCAACAAGCATTTTCAAACACTTCAGTCCGCCTTTCGATTTCACGTGCATGAATCGCCCTTCTTTCCCATTCTTCACCACCCGCCCACCCCCTCTCCCTCTTGCAGGTGGAGTTCCTCTCAGCGCGCAACCAGCAGTTTCAAACGCTCAAGTTCGTGGACATCTCCTCTGAGGACTATGACCCCGATGAGAATGGTGGAGTCGAGTATGAGGAGGTGCGTGTAAAGAGAGTTATTGTAACGAGGATAAGAAAGGTAGGAGTCTATCTAATGGATTCTTACTTGCTCAAGTTCGTGGACATCTCCTCAGAGAATTATGACCCCGGTGAGAATGGCGGAGTCAAGTATGAGGAGGTGCGTACAAGGAGGGTGATCATTGGGGCTTGTAACGAGGATACATTTTGCAGTCGTTTCGTTTTTAGGGGCAGTTCCAAACGCTCAAGTTCGTAAATATATCTTCAGAGGGTTATGACCCCGATGAGAATGGCGGCGTCGAGTACGAAGAGGTGTGCGTGTGTGTAACGAGAGAGTGATTGTAACAAAGTTTCCGAAGGTAGTAGTCTATAAAATGGAACATCACACGTCCAAGTTTATGGATATCTCCTCGGAGGAGTATGATTCCGATGAAAATGTCGGAGTCGAGTATGAGGAGGGCAACGAGGATAAAGAAGGTTGTAATCTATAAGCTGGATTTTTCACATGCTTAAGTTGCGTGAAACAAAAATTGTTGTATCGAGGATAATGATGGTATGGTATTAGTTCAAGTTTTGTCCATTTCGACTGAGTAATACAGAGGAGTCACATACAAGGAGGTGTATCACGTGTGTAACAAGATTTGACTGTTAAAAGGAGTACATATCCCATTCTCCTGTGCATCGCATGTCTCCCTCCCATCTACTTCCCCCTTGCCTCCTCGTACATAAAGTCACATTTGTTTTATTCCACTAAGAAAACATTCCATTTATCATAAAAACCTCTTGCTTGTCTCAACTCAACAACATTCCATAATAACAACGGTCTCCTGAATTCTGCTACCCTTCCCACGGCAGGCCATGGGTCACATGCACGGGGTCCTTCGAGACGGCACAGTTGTCAAAAGCATGGACGTGAGTTGCTTCGTAGTGGGATGTGAGCCGAGCCGAATTTTTATTGAGGGTTCATACGCTTTGCTGCCTGCAATTTCGGTTTCGCCAGAGTCTGTACTTGGAAAAATGAAAGCGTAGAACACATGAGTCTTACTTGCGCTTTCAGACGCCGGAATGATGGAACCCAAAAATGAAATCTACAAAAGCAAAGCCACAGGTCTGTGGTTCAAAACAAGCCAACTTCCGTTCTCAATGTGATTTGGTATGCAAAGTGAATGTGAGTTGGCATGTGAATGTATGAGCTGACAATTGAAAGTGTGAGTTGGCATGTGAATGTTTGAGTTTGCATGTGGAGTGGACTGGAGTGTTGCTTGCGCACGTAACACTCTCCCTCTCCCTGCACAAGCAGCAACACGTAACACTCGAACGATCTTTATTGAATACAATGAACGGTTCAGCTAATAGAGAGCAAGGCACAGGTGAGCCAGGCACAGGTGAGCAAGGCACAGGTGAGCCAGTCACAGGTGAGCAAGGCACAGGTGAGCAAGGCACAGGTGAGCAAGGCACAGGTGAGCCAGTGCATACTACGTAATGCAATCCTAAGTTGCCAAATGCGCTCAACCCCTTCAGCGCATAACGTCTGTATGGTAGCGTTTGTACACTATGCGCTATACGCCCGCGAAATACACTATACGCTTTCAGAAAATTTTCTGGGCTGCCCAAAAAAAATGTCGCGACATAGTTGCGGAATTTCTAGGTGAGAATTTTGCCGAGGTCGAAATGAAAATTCGTGGTCTAGGCCAAGTTCGGCAGCCAGGCGGTAGCAAAATTTCATGAAGTTAATGGGAAGGCGAGACGCGCGTCAAACCAGGATCAACGAGTTTTGACCCTGGATTGACTGCTCCGCGGAAAACCTGCGCCATGGGGGAGTTGGCGCAGATCGGAGGGGAAGGTTGGCAAACAGCACCGCATGTGTAGGCACATTTGCCTGGACATTCAAATGTCCCATGGCACTGTAGCGGGCTCGCTTTTTATGAATATGAAAGTTACAGGAATCCCCTGTAATATGAATTTACCACTACATCTTCCTCCCCACATGCATGCTACCACCCCTCCCCCTACTCTACATGTCCATCCCTAATCCCCCGCCTACTGCACATGCATGGAGCCTTCCGCTAGTACTAATCGGCCATCACATCATCCTCCCCCTCCTCTGGTTCTTCTAACCTCCTCCGGGACGTTGTAGCCAGCCGGAGTGGGGGGGTCCTCGATGTTTCCCTTCACCGCCCCCTACCCTTCAGGGACCTGGTGCCAGTTATGCACAACCTGCCAATTGTGCATCACGTACACGAGGTCCCGAAGCTTCTTCGCGCCGAGCCGGTACCTGCGTGCTGTATGCACGGCATCAAACTTCGCCCAGTTCCGCTCGCATGCTGACGCGGACACCGGTTGCGTGAGGGCGTGGCAAGCCATGGTGGTGAGCTCCGGATGATCGGTCCCGTGCCACAACCACCAGGCCACCGCGGTCATCTTGCCCTCCTTCACTGCCTCACGGTCGGCCATAGCGGCGGGCATGCCGAAGCTGCCTTGGAGGTTGAGGAAGGCATTGAGGCCTCCCTGGATGACAAGAGAGGCGCGGCGCTCGACCTCGTCCTTCGAGGTGTGTGTGTTTGATGTGGGGATACTCCGTCATCAAAACCCTACATGCCCCGCGAAGTTGGAGCCGCCGTCAAAACACAAGGCGACGACGTTCTCGGGCTAACCTTCTCGATGATGGGGCGTAAGATGCCCGCGATGTAGCCGTCGGTCTTCATCTCCATCTTGGTGTCAATCGACTCCACGAACACCGCTCCGCTATCGGTGATGAGGAGCACATTGGCTTGCGGGCAGCCGGCCTTGTCAGAGCACATGTCGCTTGCCACGGTGACACTGTCACGGTGCGAGCTTGCTGAGATTGGAGCGAGAGCCGCCTCTATGCGCTGGCAACACTTTGCAAGACCGGCTCCACCGATGTAGTGTCTCTTCGGCGCGATGTAATTCGGCCCCGCGCACTTGATGCTGGAGACCACATTCCGCCACAGTGGGTGGTCCGCGTGATGCTCCGGCACATGAAGAGCGGTGAAGAAGAGGCTTATGGCCTCGTCAGTCAGGTTCGCGCACGCAGCGTCATCGCCGTAGAAGTCGGTCATTCGATTCTTCTTCTTGTCTGAACCGCCGCTGACTGCGTCGACCACCGCAATTTCAGCCGCACGCTTCGCTTCACAGGCCTTCAACTTGGACTCGTAAAGCGCCTTCACAGCGTCACGTGCAGTCTTCGGTGCTGCAATGCAGAGATGCACTTCGCGACGGCGCATGCCGTTCCAGCCGGTGATAGGGTGCGCGCAGCGGTAAACCCCGCTAGCGAATTTGAAGTTGTAGTAGGCACACACCTTGGTGCCGTTCTCGCTAACACTGTTGGCCGGCACTTTGAAGTGACGGTACACAGCGTGCTTGCTGTCCATGCAGACCAAAGCCGAAACAGAAGAGGACCCTCCGGCGGAACTACCAAGAGCCTCTGAGGGTGTAGAACGAGAACTTGTTGCTGTAGGAGTAGCAGCCATGGTGGCTGGGGAGAAGAGGCAGCTAGAATAGGAAGCGAGAGAATGAATGTCGAGAGAATGAATGTCAAGAGAATGAATGTCGAGTGAACAAATGCCACTCTTTATGCCTGGGAGATTGGGTTGGGTTGAGCTCCCAACCAGGAAAGTAGCGGTTGAAGGGGGTGGTGGAATGCTGTGGTTTAACGGGGTGTGAAACGGTGGAGGGGTGGGGTTGAGGAGGTCTGGAGCTCAAAATTCAAAATTCGAGTTCAGTTCGCGACATCTGCGACTCGAGATAGAGATCGCCACGTCGAAAGCTTCAGATTGAATTTTTTTTTCGGTCTGCCCGAAATTCATCTCGGCGAATTTTCAAATTATATGCAGCGTACCAATTTGTAAGAGTATAAACGCAAAACGCAAAAGCAAAGTGGCGTTTAGTCCAACTTAGTTTTGTGGAATCAAAATTTCTGATTCTTGTGTTGGAGAAGAATCATTTTCGTCTTCCGTCTCGCTAGGGCGGAAGCTTTCCGCCAAGGGGGGGAGAATAAGGACAGAAGACGGTGCGGAATCAATTTTAGGTGGTGTTCGCGTCGCTGCTGTTAAACACCTGCGCTTCGATTTCCGGAAGTTTTACCCTACAGCCCGCACTGTTTTGCCCTCGATAATGCGATTAGAAGCTTCACAGAAGAAGGGAAAATTTTTCTTCCGTCCTTCTTCCGTGGCTGCCGAACTGGGCCCTAGGCTAGCCAGGATCTAACTTCGAAGTTTTCAGGCACATTTGGCACAAATGTCGAATTTCAGATCTACACATTGATTGAAACTCATCTCATCTACCGTATTGAAACCCATTCCAACCCCAACCCATCTACAAACTCCAACCCTTCAAAATTGACCCCTAGCTGCTGGTTCTTCATTTCCCACGAATCATTCCCGCTTCCAACAGCGTTCCTCCCGCCCGTTCCTACTTCTCTCTAGCCCAGGCTGAAACGTCTACCCCACCTCCCGCCCCACCCGCCGTTCGGACTCAGAAGAATGCTGCTAGGGCACGTCATAGAGAGAATACAGAGTAGTTCTTTCCTCACCCTGCCCGGAAAGTTTTTTACCTGCCCGAAAAAGTGTATGTCCACATCGACCACCTACGCGGATAGCGTACATACGCTAGCGTATATACTATATAGGCGTATTTGGCAACTTAGATGCAATCAAGTGAGTCGAGAGGGAAGGTAAAGAAAGGGGGTGAGCAAACAAACCAGTGGTAGCGGCCTATTCCGCAGCCTGTACATGAAGAAGTGTTTTGAGACGTCTTTAAACACTTCTTCATACACGCAGCCTGTACATGGAGTATGTACACGCCATTCGAGCCCCAGTGCTTCATACATGTTCCTTACCTCCCTTCCTCACAGGCTTAAAGCCAGGGTCTCACGTTCTACAAGTGTTTTGCAGTTGACAGTGCAAGTTTGTTTGTGATTGGTTGGCGAGTTGTGAAGTTTGAAGAGGGGTGAAGCGAGGAGTACGAAACGAATCCAAATCGCTAGGTGTAGCCGAACCTTCTAGGTTCGTAAATATGGTTCGGATCCAAACCTAAAGTGCCCCAGAATCGTCGAAAGTCTCACGTACTCAAAACTTGTGCAATTGCTTTAGAGGCACTGACGGGGGTAGGTTTCCAACCCAACCAAAGAGAAATTCGCCTGCACTAACTAGGTAACCTAGCTTCAACTGCTTTGCAGTTGATGGCTGCTTTGCTTACTTGAGACCCTGGCTTTAAGCAGTTTCTACGATGCAGTTGCACTGGGAAAGGTTGGCCTCGCACCAGGCTTGGTGTGTAACAACTTTGCAGGCCCTTATGGGGCGCTTTTACTCACTCTCTCAACGCCACTTCCCTCTCTCCCCCCCCTCTTGCACAGCCTCTCTGCAGCTTGTACGATGCAGTGGGGTTGACTTTTGAGGCGTCTCAAAAGTGGGGCTGGGATGCAGTGGGGTTGCACCAGCTCAGTATGGAACGATTTGGAGGCTTTTTTTGGGGCGCTTTCTATCACTCCCGATGCCCCTTCTCCCCATCCCTGCCCCTCACACAGGCTTTCCGCAGATTCTACAATGCAGTGGGGTTGGGATGAGAGCGTGGATCTTCATTGGGGCGCTTTTGATCACTCTCAATTTCCCTCCCTCCACCCCTTCCCCCCCCCTCCCCTGCCCCTCACACCAGGCGTTCCGCAGCTTCTACGATGCAGTGGGGCTGGGCTGGATCATCAACGTCACCAACTCCCCCCCGGTAGGCAATCCTTCATGTTCTAGGCGCAGCAAAAACAGTCACTCACACTTTCCCGCCCGCAAGCAGTAACTTTTGAGTGGACTGAAGATTTTAGGGTGCAGTGGGGCTGGGCTGGATGGATGGATCATCAACGTCACCAACTTCCCCAAAGGTAAGCCATCCTTTCCATTCAAGGCGCCTCACAAGTAGCTGACCACTCAACCCCCATTATGAGCTCATTACATGGGCAAGGGAAGGGGGGGCTACTTATGAGGAGAGCCGGGTGGATCTCCTCCCACGTGGGCACCACAGTGCTACCACGTGGGCACCACAGTGCTACCACGCGGGCACCATGTGAACCACCACATGGGCACCACATGGCCAACACATGGCCAACGCATGGGCCACCACATGGCCTTCACATGGCCAACACATGGGCCACCACACATGCAACCACCAACCATGTGGTAACGTCTGCTGCTGAACCTTTTTGTTTTACTTTCCAACTCCCCCTGTTGTTCTAGTATATTGTTCTATTATATACTGCTGTTCTCCTGTCTGCCTTTCTTCACACATTCCTCTGTGGCCGCTTCTTTTCGTCACTTATTAGTAGGCACACCCCTCAGATTACGCTTTTCTCCTCATCCCGCTCTTTGATCCTCACCCTCCTCTCTGAACCTCTACCCCTTCTCGTGAACCCATCCCTCTCTCTCACACTCAGATAGCAGTGGTGGTGGATGCAATGTATGAGCTCTTTGCTAAGTACCGCCTCCCACTCACTGGTACGCCCCCCACTCACTGGTACTTACATGCTGCTTTTTGTAATGAACAAAGAGAAGCTTTTGGTCATCTATGCAACTCATACCTCCCCTCGTCCGCAATGCTCATAACCCCACTCTGCTCCACTTCCGTCTGTCCCACCTCACTCCACCGCTCCCGGTCCCTTCCACCTCTTTTCATTTCCTCTCTTTTGCTTTCACTTCCCGAGTCGTGCTACCAACTAGCCCAACATTCTGTCTATTTATTAGAGAAAAATTCCACTTGCACTTGACCAAGGGACCTGTAATGAGTTTGTTTTATCGCGCATGGACAATGCTCTTGATGGGTGCATGCATGGTGGGGTGGTGTTTGTTGCTTGAATTCTTATGGCAGGTCATCCGGGTATCCAAGCTGCTTTTGAGGAACGCAAACGGACCAAGGTGAGATGATACGGGCTATCATCTGCTTTTGTAAACCTGGGTGCGAGTTGTCTGCATATTTTGTGTAATCAAACATGCTTCACTAAATACGGGTGTGCTTTTAATGGAGGTGTCGTTTTGTGGTGTGGTTGTTAAGAAATGGTGCGCTTTCAAGAGTTCAGGCGTGTGTTTGGATGGAAGAGATGTAGCCCTCACATCGCGTGCTACCAAACCGCGAAAAAATAAATGTTCAGTGGGACCATTTATGTAGTAGCACGGTTATGCAGACCACATTATCTGACTGCCATATGAGGTAAATGTTCATGATACATGGCCCCTAGCCTACCGATACAGGGAGACAGGGGATCAATTCCTTTGGCCACTTTCTTCTCACCCCAATATTGATTTCTCTCCATTCCCCTCTCTGGTTTTTACCATGCAGTATGGCATCAAGGGGTGCACAGAGGAAGACCCGTGCGAGGTGGAATACTGATGGTGCAAATGGAGTGCCGATGTGTTGCATGCAGCCACGGTACCCCGTCAGCCCCCGGATAGAAGCGCCCCTGGGGGTATAAAAAAACACTGTTTTTTAGGGGGTGCGCTTATATTTGAGGATTTTTATAAGCACCGGGGCTTATATAATGACATATATGAAATCTAGTTATTTTTACACTAAGGTGTTCATCTCGTCCTTGCGATTTGAATCGAATCGATATTGTAGAGGGCATTGAATGTGAATTTCGCGTGAATTGGCAGTGGCTGATTCCCTGCCAACACACACAGTCAGAATGAGTCAGATTGACCCCATGACAGCTCATTATGACTGGACGCGAAGGCATTGAGTCGCGCGAGGGGCAAGGGTTTCGAAATTCTGAATGTGGGGATGCAGTATTATGTTTCGTTTCAGCGTTTTCAGTAAAAATATAAAAAAATATTACAGAGGGTGGCGCTTATATTCCGTAAGCCTTCAGGGGTGCGCTTATAATCGAGGACCGGATATAAGCGCCCTCATCCTTTTATAAGCGCCTGCGCTTCTATCCGGGGGCTTACGGTAGTTGGTATTGGTGTATTGTAGTGTAGGACTATTTTGGTTGGAGTTGAACAAAGAACCATGGCGTTCAGCTTAGGCTTGTTTCTGCTGCTTCCGGGCGTTCAGCACGGCGTCTGGAACGCAGCCACAAAACCTAAGTCTTGTTTACCGACGTACCACTTAGTTATTTGACACGTGGTTTGATTGGTAGTTCCGGTATGGTATTATTATGACACGATGATTTTGAATTTCTTTGCTTTATTGGTTTGTGGAAGGGTGGAAGTCAGGGTTATTTATCCTCGAATCTAACAGATGTGCTACTATGCCAGATAATACGTGGAATTTTGAGGATGTTATCATTTGCATGTACTTATATGCTTCAATGAACTGGAAACCTAAAATGAGTGCAATTGTGTGGAGGTGTGCTCCATATTTCTTTCATGGATTATGTGCATGTATCCTATCAGCTGGTTATGATGGAGTGTACATTTCCAAAAAAACATCGTTTCAGCGGACACCGTTTCCCGGGAAACTGGCGTCTGTGCGAAACGGGGTTTGAAAGGCCGCGCCAACCAATGACGTTACACGAGCTTTTGGATCCAGCCGTGGATGACGTGGCGCTCACCTGAAACCGCCCCTGGCTTTCAAGCCGCAGGTTTTGGCGATGTACACGCGATTATTGCGGCTGGCTTGAAATTGCGTGTTCACTTTGAGCCATTGCGGGATGATTCCTGTCGCGAGTCAAGCTATTAGTGTTCTCAGCAGCACTTAACAGTCGGAAACGCTTAGGTGGGTACCCGCCACTGGAACCACCATTTTAGCCTCAGCGCATTGGTTTTACACCTCTAGTCAAGCGGTCTGATGACCTCCTGACCAGGGGCATGAATTACTGTACGATTTTGGCTGGTGCAAAGAGTAAAATTTTCGGACAGCTCGATTTTAATTAAACACCAATATCTTGAGCTGTGATGGAGCTGTATCGTTGAATAGAACCGCCCCTCCTCACCTCCCCCTGTCTCCCAACTTCCCACCGTCGTTCCCTTTCCCTCGAACTCGCACCATTTACACAGCTGCCATTCGTTCTGTGGTGCCAGGCAGGCATCACTGCAAGCCCTGCGGTGAAGTTGACTCCACCACGCGAGTGGGGCAGCGTGTCGAATTCGAGCGATGAGCGCGGTTCTGTTCACTCAAGTATGGATTTACAGCTGCTCTGTGTGGGTTTCTTGCAGCCGTAAAGAAGAATCCATCTTGCACTCTGAGTTTCACGTTCTGTATTCTACATTTACAGCAAGGATAGTTCCTTCTAGAGCACATTATCGAAGTGCGAAACATTGAGTCTCACAAGAAATACCGTGTCTGCTACTTTTTTCACTCCATAGTCTTTGGCAACCGTCGTTAGAATCAGGATGGCTGAACCAATCACAGCACGCCAACACCTCACCTTCCTCCTCGTCGCATCGCTAGTCCTTGGAATAATCTGCGGTCCCGCGGCTATCGCGGCGTCGGAACTGGAAGATGCCATCAACAAGGCGAACGCGGTACGGCTGACTTAGTACCATAGCTATACGCAGTACGCATTTCCATAGCTGTGGCCGCGCACCAATAATAGCACACTCGTATGTGTTCTAGCAGGGCATATGGGAGCGCATCATCGTGTAGATGATCTGTCACGCCTCACGAGCATCGCGCGGCTACCCAGCGGGTATCGCGCTGCGGGTATTGCGCGGCAATCCCGCGGGTATCGCGCGGCGTAGGAGCCGGAAGCCGCCATCAGCAAGGCGAGCTCGGTAGGCATTTCGTATGTCACAACCCTCTTGGGCTTCGCGCATGCGACCCAGAGATGAATCCGTGTTACCCGGAGTGTAACCAGGAGCTGAGGTCGCAGAGAGTGTGTGCAGCGCTGTGAAAGGGGTTTCTTTTTCAGAACCTATTACGTAATGAGCAATTTGTACAGGCAAAAAGTTTATCGCGAAAGATTGCGTGCCTGTTCACTGAGCTGGCGTCGCGAATACACCGTAACCTCCTCGTTCGCGAAGGCAGACTCATCGGCGAAAAGCAACCACGTCGTATTCGCGATCCTGGTCTCGTAGGAAGACGGAAACGCGTTCTGTCCAACCTTCGTTTATCCGTGCTTGATCTCGAGTCGCTTGACAGCAGATTTTCGGCTTGCGAGTCTCATCTCGACATCGAGACGCGCTACCCTTGCGAACGTTTCCGTCCCGCCCAAAAAAAAAAAATAACGCGTGTCCTCCGTTCTTAGCAAGCGCGTTGCCAACGCTGTTCGCCGATGGAAGCGCGCTATTGAGCTGACTCGAGGGTCTGTGCGGATGAGATGGTTGAAATTGAAGCATTATGGGGGGAGGCGTGAGGATGGAGTGGGGTTGGGGATAGGACGGTTGGGGAGGAAGAGGGGAATGGGGTAAGATGGGGGAGCGCGGAGGTGGATGGGGAGGTGGATGAAGACGACTCGGGAACCAGACGAGCCACAAGCTCAGTTACGGCTGGTGCAGTCTGTGGTTTGGCTGGACGTGGAGTAGGAATCTCGCGTGGAGTAGGAATCTCGCGTGGAGTAGGAATCTCGCGTGTAGGAATCTCGCGTGGACGGCTGAGATGTAACGTCTGCTAGGGTTAACGTTTGTCTCCTCTCTCCTCTCTGTGCGTACGCGTGTGTGCATGTGCGTGTGCGACCGTCGTGTGCGCGCGTGTGTGCGTGTGTTTCCGTCCACGCGGCATGCATGCAGAGAGGCGCAAGTGCTTCCCCTACAGTGCTCGTCCTCACATCCAACGTGGCGCTCACAGCGTGAGTTCACATGCACCTCCTATCAGTACAGCGTCCTCGCTATCAGTATTACTCTTCCTTTCCGCACCTCCTTCCCCCCCCTCTCTTTCCGCCCTCCCTCTTCTCCCCCTAGCCGCCTCCTCGCACTCTCAGGCAATTTCTGACTTGACTCACACCCCCCATCTCCCCCTCTCCCCCCCCTCTCCCCCTCTCACCCCCTCTCCCCCTCTCGCCCCCTCCGTCTCCCTCGCTTTCTCCTCCGCCAGCCCCCTCCCCGCCCTCTCAGGCGCAGCCAAGCTGACAGTCAAGGGCGCGTGTGCCCCTTCCAGGTTGGTAACCCGGTTACCAGGTTGGTGATAGGGTTACCAGGCAGGTTGTGTGGCTGAATATTTTTACGCGGAAAGGGTACATGGGTTCGTACAGGGTTACCAGTTCCTGGTAGGGTTACCACGTCGCGGGTCTCAGAAGCAGGTATCCGGAAGAAGGTGCGGGACTGTCAGGTTTGGTAACACAGAAGGGTTACTGTAACGGCTTTGTCGTCTTTCTGCTGCCATGATTGCTCGTTAATTTATGGAAATTTAGCAGTCACTGGTGCGATGATTCTGATGAGTTTCCTCAGCTGATTCGTCAGGTAGGTTCTCACATAATTCGTGCCGTTCCTGATAACATGCAATGAGCTCTTTCCCATCCCCCTCGTCCGCTCTCTCTCTACCCGTCACCCTCCCTCCATCCTCCCCGTGACCTCAAATCCTCCTCATCCTCTATCCTACGACTTTCAACCCCCGTTCCTTTCTCTCCTCTTTTCTCTCCCCCTTTCTCTCCTCCTTTCTCTCCTCCTTTCTCTCCTCCTTTCTCTTCCCCTTTCTCTTCCCCCTTTCTCTCCCCCTTTCTCTCCTCCTTTCTCTCCTCCTTTCTCTCCTCCTTTCTCTCCCCCTTTCTCTTCCCCCTTCTCTCCCCCTTTCTCTTCCCCCTTCTCTCCCCCTTTCTCTCCCCCTTTCTCTCCCCCTTTCTCTCCCCCTTTCTCTCCCCCTTTCTCTCCCCCTTTCTCTCCCCCTTTCTCTCCCCTCTCTCTCCTCTCCCAACATCACCAGGTGCATCATTAGCGGGGGTGGCGCCTTCCCCATATTCACCTCCCCCTCGTCCGGCCCCACGGGGGGGGTGTTGACTCTGGTCAACCTCAACTTCCAGCGAGCGGCAGGAGGCGTCCTATTCAACGTGCGGGCGGCGGTCAACGCGAGTCAATGCGTGTTCTTGAGCAACACGGCTCCTGGCATTGGCGGAGGGGTGCTCAGGTGACGGAGTGGGGGGGTAGGGAGTGAGGGAGTGAGGGAGTGAGGGGGTGAGGGGGTGAGGGGGGGAGGGAGTGAGGGGATGAGGGAGTGAGGGGGTGAGAGAGTGAGGGTGTGAGGGAGTGAGCGGGTGCTCAGGTGAGGGAAGCGTGTTGCTTTGACAGATAGCTTATTGAAGTGTCAGTCAGCGGGTCAGCTATGCCTGCTGCTATGCCGCCTGCTGTGCTGCCTGTTGTGCCGCCTGCTGTGCAACAGTCACTCACTGTTCGCTTCTCTCCACAGTCACCCTGTGTCCTACCCTCGATTGTCCCCCGGTCCACTCCTTTCCTGAGGCTACTCAAAATCAGTTGCTGGTTGCTGGTTACCACCACTCACCACCACTCACCACCACTCACTCAACCAATCTCCCTACCCTCCACCTTCACCCCGTCCTCTCCCCTTCCCTCCCCTTTCTCTTTCCCTGTTTCCAACCCACCAAAGACTCCTTCCCTGCCCTCCCTCCCCGTCCGCTTGCCTGCCCTCCTTCCCTTTCCTCACCCTCTTTCCGTTGTCTCCCATTCCCCTTCCTCTTCCTCCCCGATCCCCCATCCTCTCCCTGTTCCCAACCCCACAGCGACTCCTTCCCTGGGACAGCCACCCCTCCGTACCGCCTCTTCTCGCGCTGCACCTTTCAGGGCAACACGGCGCCCATCCTGGGGGGCGGAGCCATCAGCATCAACGCGGGGAGCCCGCTGGGCCGCGTGCCGCCGCTCTACTTCGTGCGCTGTCTCTTCAAGGACAACACTGCGCCCAGAAGTCTCGGAGGGGCCATTTCAGTGGCGGGGAACGGCAGAGTGCGGTTCAAGACGTGTGTGTTTGATGGGAACAACGCCGGTGAGTGTGTATGTGTGGGTGTGTGTGGTGTGTGTGGAGGTGTGTGGAGGTGTGTGGAGGTGTGTGTTTGATGGGAAGAACGCTGGTGAGTGTTGTGAGGGTGCAGATTGGTTCATTTGGCACCTACCTCTCCGCTGCAGACTGCGGGCTGTCTCCCTTCCTCTCGTCTTGCCACTGAACCTCTTGCTCGCTCATTTCTCAGGCTTGTAACGTCCCTCGTCATCCCTCTTTATCCTCTCCATCCCTTAGCATCTCTCTTCGTCCCTTTCCATCCCTCTCCCTCTCCATCCCTTTTCATCCATCTCCATCCCTTTCCATCCGTCTCCGTCTATCTCCATACCTCCCCATCCCTCTCCATTCCTTCCCACCCCCCTCTCACAACCCCATTCCCACCCTCATCCTCCCCATCCAGGTGCATCTGGGGGAGCCATCTTCTCATACGGTGCATCCCTTGCCCTCGCGCGAGTCACCTTCAAGACCAACAGGGCCCTCGGCACCTCCCTTGCCGGCTCATTTTCCTCGGGCCTCGGCGGTGCTCTCTACGCCGTCTCAGGGCTCCTCACCCAGTCATCTCTCAGCTTCTGCTCGTCGTCCTTTTCGGGCAACTCGGGCAGCGCTGCCAACGGCGGCTCGCTGTACCTGCAGAAGGCGCCGGGCAGCCCAAAGTTTACGGGCGTGGTGACGTTTTGCAGCGGGAGTAAACCGGCTGGATCGGTGGTGCCCAAGAGTGGATGGCGGGTGGGCAGCCAATGCACAGCCAGGTGAGAGAGAGTGTGTGTTGTAGGGATTGCGAGGTGGAAATGGAAGAGAACGAGTGGGAAGAGAGAGATAATGAGTCAATCAATAGGTTTCTTTTGTTTCTATCCCGTGATCTTTTCTGCCTTCCCCTCACGTGGCTTCTGTTCCTCCCGTTCCCTCCTATCCTCCTCCCTCCCTACCCCCATGCTTTCTCTTACATTCCTCCCTCCCCAACTTCCGTCCTCCCTCCCCACCCCACCCATCTTGCTTTCTCTGCATCCACACAGTATGAGTATTGGGCTGTTTGTTCCTTACTCACCACAACATATAGGTTGTTCGCTTGCATCCTTCCCCTTTTATTGTTCGCTGTCTGTTTCCTACACGCGTTAACCACACTTGAACCCTTGGTACCAGAATTCAAGTGCCAAATTGAAGAATGACTCTTCCGCCTTGCCTCTCCCTTTTTCTTTGCCTCTCTCCCCCTTTTCCTCTGTCCAAGCAGCACCTGTGCTTGAGCTCTGGCTGTCATGCTTCACCGCAGTCGACTCCTGCCGTTTCAGCTGGCGCCTCACTTTACACTCCCCAGCAGTCATGCTTCTGAGGCATGGAATTGACACAAGTTGCAGCAATTGCATGGAGGGTGACATGGATGAAGACCACTCTCCTTGACGACACTGAAGATGTACCCAATACTTTGTGAAGGCTCCCCTGGCAAAGTCTGTCCCGGTTGACTGACTGCTGTGAAACCTGCACCCATGCCTTGTCGGAGCACATATTTGTTTACGCTTTTTTGTTTTGCCCTTTTCTCTCTTTGAACTTACCTTGCATTTTTTCCTTCACATCATAAGCTTGTTTGTTGGGTACCCACCTAGTATGTGCTGGCGATGTGCTTGGCATTCTTTCAATCCTTTGCAAAGAACAATGCATCACCAATGGTGTTGATCCATACAAATGTGGGAGTGGGTGTATCAACCAATATATACACTCACAGTGGAATCGCGCAAATTCAGGGCAGCTCTGACATGACACGTCAAAATCTGCGACTCGCAAAGCTAGGTGAGGTTTCAGGTGGGCGCCGCGTCGTCCGCTGCTGAATCCAAATGCCTCCTGTCATCCAAACTCCGTTCCTTTCAGCCAGTTTCCAGCGCGCGTCCCAACAGCCCCCTCTCAAACCCAGCATGACATTCGTCATTTGTGTAAATTGAGATATCGAAGATGGATGTCCCACCCATCCCCACCACTTCTACTTCCCATAACCACCATTCGCGCCGTGGCGTCAGGTGCGCATGACAGGAAGCCCTGCAATGTGGTGGAATGGGCACAAATCGCCACTAGTGTCGTCCGTCAATATGAGCACGGTTCCGTTCACTGCGCCCCATGAGAATCTCGTGTCGTGCAAACCATGCTGTAGGAGATCGTTGCTGCTCGTGACTTTGGTTCTCTCTCTCCCCCACCCAGCTCGCGAATGAACTTACGGCTGCGTAGCGTGAGTTTTCCCGATGATCAGGTTCTCACCCTCACGTGCTTTCCGATCGCTAGAGTCTAGCAAGGATAGGATAGTTCCTCTCAGAAATCATTATCCGAGTCGCAAGTATTCAATATTTGTCTCAAGGTTGCATGTCAGCTATAGTCCACACTATTCGGTTACTACAATCGATAGAGTCAGGATGGCTCGTGGCAGGGAACGAATCACAGCACGCCAACGCAGTGCTTCTTTCGTCGTCGCATCGCTAGTCATTGGGATCGTCTGCGGTTGGCTGACGCGGCGTCGGAGCTGGGAGATGCCATCAACAAGGCGAACAAGGTAGGCATGTATAGATTCACACCGATGCCACCTATCGCGGCGTCGAATGGTAGCCTCTATGTTTTTCGAAAACTAGCGTCAACCCTCGCTAGGCTAAATGTGCTTGATGCGGCACGATTTCCACGCTAGCTTGCTGCTTTGAAGTCCTCTCAACTGAGTTAAGGCTTACTCAACCCTTGCGAAAGTAACTACCATCTAACAATTTCGGCCAGCCTCGTGTTTGTTCGTGTCCACGTGGCGTGGATACAGGGAGGCGCAAGCGCGGCTCCCACAGTGCTCGTTCTCACATCCAACGAGCTGCTCGCGGCGTAAGTTCCCCATCAGTCCACGTCTGCGCATGTCACATTTCGCCACGCGTGCATTTGCCACCTCATATCACCTCATCCCATGAAAGCCGGTTACGTTCGTTACGTTAAGCATTGTCCCCTGATTTCGACCTTTGAGGCGCCTCAAAAGTCAGGCCCCATCCCTGCTTAGTCCCCTGATTTCGACCTTTGAGGCGCCTCAAAAGTCAGGCCCCATCCCTGCTTAGTCCCCTGATTTCGACCTTTGAGGCGCCTCAAAAGTCAGGCCCCATCCCTGCTTAGTCCCCTGATTTCGACCTTTGAGGCGCCTCAAAAGTCAGGCCCCATCCCTGCTTAGTCCCCTGATTTCGACCTTTGAGGCGCCTCAAAAGTCAGGCCCCATCCCTGCTTAGTCCCCTGATTTCGACCTTTGAGGCGCCTCAAAAGTCAGGCCCCATCCCTGCTTAGTCCCCTGATTTCGACCTTTGAGGCGCCTCAAAAGTCAGGCCCCATCCCTGCTTAGTCCCCTGATTTCGACCTTTGAGGCGCCTCAAAAGTCAGGCCCCATCCCTGCTTAGTCCCCTGATTTCGACCTTTGAGGCGCCTCAAAAGTCAGGCCCCATCCCTGCTTAGTCCCCTGATTTCGACCTTTGAGGCGCCTCAAAAGTCAGGCCCCATCCCTGCTTAGTCCCCTGATTTCGACCTTTGAGGCGCCTCAAAAGTCAGGCCCCATCCCTGCTTAGTCCCCTGATTTCGACCTTTGAGGCGCCTCAAAAGTCAGGCCCCATCCCTGCTTAGTCCCCTGATTTCGACCTTTGAGGCGCCTCAAAAGTCAGGCCCCATCCCTGCTTAGTCCCCTGATTTCGACCTTTGAGGCGCCTCAAAAGTCAGGCCCCATCCCTGCTTAGTCCCCTGATTTCGACCTTTGAGGCGCCTCAAAAGTCAGGCCCCATCCCTGCTTAGTCCCCTGATTTCGACCTTTGAGGCGCCTCAAAAGTCAGGCCCCATCCCTGCTTAGTCCCCTAATTTCGACCTTTGAGGCGCCTCAAAAGTCAGGCCCCATCCCTGCTTAGTCCCCTGATTTCGACCTTTGAGGCGCCTCAAAAGTCAGGCCCCATCCCTGCTTAGTCCCCTGATTTCGACCTTTGAGGCGCCTCAAAAGTCAGGCCCCATCCCTGCTTAGTCCCCTGATTTCGACCTTTGAGGCGCCTCAAAAGTCAGGCCCCATCCCTGCTTAGTCCCCTAATTTCGACCTTTGAGGCGCCTCAAAAGTCAGGCCCCATCCCTGCTTAGTCCCCTGATTTCGACCTTTGAGGCGCCTCAAAAGTCAGGCCCCATCCCTGCTTAGTCCCCTGATTTCGACCTTTGAGGCGCCTCAAAAGTCAGGCCCCATCCCTGCTTAGTCCCCTGATTTCGACCTTTGAGGCGCCTCAAAAGTCAGGCCCCATCCCTGCTTAGTCCCCTAATTTCGACCTTTGAGGCGCCTCAAAAGTCAGGCCCCATCCCTGCTTAGTCCCCTGATTTCGACCTTTGAGGCGCCTCAAAAGTCAGGCCCCATCCCTGCTTAGTCCCCTGATTTCGACCTTTGAGGCGCCTCAAAAGTCAGGCCCCATCCCTGCTTAGTCCCCTGATTTCGACCTTTGAGGCGCCTCAAAAGTCAGGCCCCATCCCTGCTTAGTCCCCTGATTTCGACCTTTGAGGCGCCTCAAAAGTCAGGCCCCATCCCTGCTTAGTCCCCTGATTTCGACCTTTGAGGCGCCTCAAAAGTCAGGCCCCATCCCTGCTTAGTCCCCTGATTTCGACCTTTGAGGCGCCTCAAAAGTCAGGCCCCATCCCTGCTTAGTCCCCTGATTTCGACCTTTGAGGCGCCTCAAAAGTCAGGCCCCATCCCTGCTTAGTCCCCTAATTTCGACCTTTGAGGCGCCTCAAAAGTCAGGCCCCATCCCTGCTTAGTCCCCTGATTTCGACCTTTGAGGCGCCTCAAAAGTCAGGCCCCATCCCTGCTTAGTCCCCTGATTTCGACCTTTGAGGCGCCTCAAAAGTCAGGCCCCATCCCTGCTTAGTCCCCTGATTTCGACCTTTGAGGCGCCTCAAAAGTCAGGCCCCATCCCTGCTTAGTCCCCTAATTTCGACCTTTGAGGCGCCTCAAAAGTCAGGCCCCATCCCTGCTTAGTCCCCTGATTTCGACCTTTGAGGCGCCTCAAAAGTCAGGCCCCATCCCTGCTTAGTCCCCTGATTTCGAGTCCACCCCCATCCTGATTGCTTGAGTCAACTAAGCCCTCTTTCCTATTCCCCTACACTCGCGCTTTCCACTCTCTTTCCTCCCTCTCGACCCCCCGTACCCCTCCCTCCTCCCCTTCCCCCAACCTTCTCTTTCCCCCTTCCCCATTTCCCCTTCTTCCCCCCCTCCTCCCCCCAGCCCCATCCCCGCACTCTCAGGCGCGGCCAAGCTGACCATCACGGGCACGTGTGGCGCCAACAGGACTACCAGGTGGGTGGTAGGGCTACTAGGTGGGTGGTAGGGTTACGAGGTGGGGGGTAGGGCTACCAGGTGGGTGGTAGGGTTACCAGCCGAGCGGTAGGGTTACCAGGTGGGTGGTAGGGTTACTGGCTGGGCGGTTGGGTTACCAGGTGGGTGGTAGGGTTACCGGCTGGGCGGCTGGGTTACCAGGTGGTGAAGGGTTTATGAGCTGGTAGAGGAGTCACTTGAGAATGGTTGGTTCAGTGGGTCAGGTCGGCTTTATCACCGTTACCATTACAGTTGCCATTACCATTGTTGCATTACCATTAACTTAGTTGCATTACCATTACTACTATTGTTGCATTGCCAATACTATTGTTGTATTACCATTAACATAGTTGCATTACCATTACCATTGTCGCATTCACCATCGCCATCGGCTTGATACGTCTCCTCTCTCCTCTCTCCAACCAT